CTAAAATCATGTGTCTATGAATTATGAATAATGGGGAGAACACTTCCAGGTGAGGTCCTGCCCCCAGCGGGGGGTTGGGGGGGGGGGGCCCCAACCTTTGGTTTTTAAAGATTGGTTTGGACTCCGGTGTCAATCTTCTTCTCTGGACCTCCCTACCTTTCATTTGGTGGAGTCAAAGAGGTGAAACGGGACTGTTTGGTGAGCCCTGCCTCTTTTGCTGATTTTTAGTTCCTCCACATATGTTGCATAGTCTCCATGCGACGTTAATGGACAGGTGACTTCCAAAAAGTGATTGATCAGCGTTGAAATCTTCAGGAAATGCACTACAACACAGATTGATTTTAACAAAGTTAAAAAGGTGGAAATTTTTTTATAATTTTCTCAGTGCATTTGATGAACCATGTATGTCCTGATCATTTATTTACGCACTAAATCGTATCCGTTATCACACATTCCTGTCATTTCAAGAAGCTTATGAACAGCGCGGGTGTTTTTTTTAGTTTGTAAATTCAGAAGCCTATATTGCTCAACCATTTGGAGTTCTGAAGCCTTTATTATCTGAAGTATTTAATAACTTTGCATATTTCTTTTAAATCATTTTTTTGTCACTGCTTCGCCAGGTTGTCCTGACTAAGTCACGGTTTGGCTGTAAGTTGGTTGGTGTGCTTGGTATTTGTTGTTACTTTAGCTCTGATTGTAAATGTTTGTTTGCTCTGGGATCTTGAGGCCCGCCTGACTGAGCAGTTATATGAATGACCACCTTCATCAGTCAGTATAGAAGGTTTAATGTTTGATGGCTTTGTGGACAAATAAAAAAAAAATAAGAGAGCTGACGATGTTTTTCCTCGCCATTTATTTTCCCAATGAACCACCACTGACTTGTAAAAGCTACGGTCGTGCACCGGTGTTACAACGCCATCTGAATGAAATGAACCAGCAAACCAAAGCTGCACACTGACAAATAGAATTAGGGAGTTGTTTCATATAATAGGAATGAAAACAGTAAATTTCCGTAGGTATATGTATTTACCTCTTTGCTTTTCTTCATTGTTAAAATGCGTTCATTTTTCAGCAAACTTTTTCTCAACCCGAGGAGGCTTTTCAAAGCCTTCATTACTGTGATTATAGTTTTTATCTCGCCTCTTTCTTCCTCCGAGACATTTTGCTTTGCATCAACGAGAACGAGTTTGTTCTTATTGACTGCCTTCAAAAAACAAAGGTTAAACTACTGAAAGGTTTAAACAGAAAGAAAGATTTTCTCTGTCCCTGAAACGGCCAGGCTTTCAAGCATTAGCTTGAACCTTTACAATTGCAATAAGACCGTAAAGTTGAGTGTTTGCAGTCAGTTTGTTTCCAAGAAACACGGAGAGATAAATCTGTCCGCACAGGAACTTGGATGTAAATGGCAACCCCATCTGTTGGGCTTGTAAAGTCCTTTGGATTAGAAAGCGTTAAAGACAAGGTTGCCAGCTCCCACGCGGCTTCATCGACTTTTCCCAGCGTTGTTTCTTAATCATTGTTTAATGCACACGCGGATTTGTCCTCCCACTCAAGTTAGTCCTTGTGGAGCCGCTAGAAGGACGGCATCGCTAATCGAAGCGCAGGGAGAAGGGAGGAGGGAGAAGAGAGGAAACAAGAGGGGAAACAGAAGAACAAAAGAAAAGCCATGCCTTTCAGCTTCGACAGGAAAAGCAGGGAAAAAAAACATGAAACATAGAGGGAAACAATAGAAAAAACAAGACACTGTGTTCAACTTCAATCAGAGCGAAAAGAGAGATCACTGAGAAAAGAAAAGGAACCAGACACAAATAAAGAGTTTGATCTGAAGCCTCGACGAGGAGAGGGAAGAGGGATTATTTTATCAAACCGCACAGGAGGAAACCTTCATGCGGAATCAGAAACTGATGTCAGTCTCAGCACAGGGAAAGAGGAG